AATGTAGGGCTCCCCTGGTGGCGCAGTGGTTGAGAGTCCACCTGCCGATGCAGGGGACACGGGTTCGTGCCCCGGTCCGGGAAGATCCCACATGCCGTGGAGCGGCTGGGCCCGTGAGCCGTGGCCGCTGAGCCTGCGCGTCCGGAGCCTGTGCTCTGCAGCAGAAGAGGCCACAGCAGTGAGGGGCCCGCGTACCGCAAAAAAAAAAAAAAAAAAAAAAAAAAAGTTAAATGTAGAGTTACCACATGACCTAGCAATTCCACCTCTAGGTTTATACCCAAGAGAATTGAAAACATATGTTCACACAAGGACCTGTACACGAATGTTCATACCAGTATTATTCATAATGGCCAAAAGGTGGAAACAACCCAAATGGCCATCAACTGATGAATGGATAAAGAAGATGTGGTCTGTCCATACAATGGAATCTTCAGTCATAAAAAGGAGTTAAGGGGCTTCCCTGGTGGCACAGTGGTTGAGAGTCCGCCTGTCGATGCAGGGGATGCGGGTTCGTACCCCGGTCCGGGAGGATCCCACATGCTGCCGAGCGGCTGGGCCTGTGAGCCATGGCCGCTGAGCCTGTGCGTCCGGAGTCTGTGCTCCGCAACGGGAGAGGCCACAGCAGTGAGAGGCCCGCATACCACACACACACAAAAAAAGCAGTTAGGTACTGATACATGCTACAACATGGATGAACTTGAAAGCATTATGCTGAATGACGGACGTCAGACATAGGGATCATATATTGTATGATAGCATTTATATGAAATGTCCAGAATGAGTGAATCCATAGAGACAGAAAGTAGACTAGAGGTTGCCAGGGACTGGAGGAATGTGGGGAATGGGGAGTGACAGCTAAAGGGTTTCTTTTGGGGGTGATGAAAATATGCTAGGAAAAGATAGTGGTGATGGTTGCACCACCTTGTGACTATACTAAAAAACCACTGACTCGTACACTTTAAAGTGGTGATTTTATGTATGTGAATTATATCTCAATTTTTAAAAAAGTATAAAGAGGTCCCATGTGCCTTTGCCCAGCTTCCCCCAATGGTAACATCCTACGTGACCATAGTACATTATCAAAACTAGGAAAGTGACATTGGTATAATGTGCAGACCTTCATACACGTGTGTGTGTGTGTGTGTGTGTGTGTGTGTGTGTGTGTAAGTAAGTTCTTTTCAGTTTTTGTTTTGTTTTGTTTTGTTTTTTGCAGTACACGGGCCTGTCACTGTTGTGGCCTCTCCCGTTGCGGAGCACAGGCTCTGGACGCGCAGGCTCAGCGGCCATGGCTCACGGGCCCAGCCGCTCCGCGGCATGTGGGATCCTCCCAGACCGGGGCACGAACCCGTGTCCCCTGCATCGGCAGGCGGACTCTCAACCACTGCGCCACCAGGGAAGCCCAGTTCTTTTCAGTTTTGTCACATGTAGATTTGTGGAACCACCACCACATCAAGATGCAGAACAGCTCCATCACCTCAAAGGAATTCCCTCATGCGACCCTTTATAGCCACCCCTCCCCACACCTGTCCCTAACCCAGACAGCCACCAACCTATTCTCCATACTTTTTGTCCTTTCAAGAATGCTATATACATGGAATCATACTATATGTAACCTTTTTGAGACTGACTTTTTCCCACTCAGTATAATGCCCTTGACACCTAACCAAATTGTTGTATCAAGAGTTTGTTCCTTTTTAAGGCGATCACTTATTAAATCAGGGCTACTTCTGAGGGCAGTCCAGCATCTCCCTGGGGGTGTGTGGATCTGTGTTAGGTTAAAGCTGGAGAGAGCACCTGTGTCAGGAGTTAGAAAGTTACCTCCTGAGAGAGGCCTTCTGCTCTGACCATCTATTCTAAAACAGTCCTTCCATTGGCCATTAATAATTCTCTCATATTTTCTTCATTGAATTTATTCCCCCACCCCCAGCCCCACTTGATTTTTTTTTTTTCCTTGGCAGTGTTACTTGTTTGCCTCCCCTCCTGGCACAGAGCTGGGATCTGCTGGGCCAGGAGCCCCCCGCACTCGGTATTTGTTGAGCAGGTGGGTAGCAGATGCCGTTGGCGCCTCCCGCAGGCCCTTCCCACCTTGGTCCCTGCTGGCTGCTCTTGCCACTGCCAGCACACACATTTCTCCGATGGAGGATCTGTTTTCTGGCCTCCAGGGCCCACTTTGCCTCCCCTGTAGCAGGCCCAAACTGGTGGGGAACTGAGCCCCCAGGAGCAGCCCTGAACCTACACTGATGGTAACTGGGGTGTGGATACCCCAGCTCCCTTGTCCCGGAAGTGGAGTCACCCTGAGGTGTGTTCCACACTGGCTCCCAGGTTCCCTGGTGGCGTGGAGCTCACAGGTGTGCCTAGCCTGGTAACACACTCTTTATGGAATGCCTCTCCCCCTCTCATTTCCCCACCCTCCAACTGGTGTTTCCTTCACTGTCTAAATCAAGTCCTTACACTTGCCTTGCCTCACGGTCTTCTCCTGGGGGAATCCAAACCAACACAGAATGAATGAGTGAATGAATGAATTAAAAACCCAGGTTTAAATCCTCACTCCATCACTTGGGCAAACCACATCTTTGCTGGACTCTGGTCTTCCTTCAGTGACACGGGTGTTACTGCAGTACTCACCTTCCAGGGCTTGGAGAGAACCCAGTGAGATAACGGCGGTGCCCAGGTGCCCTGATTCTTGTTCTGCCAACTTGATTACCACCTGCGATGGGCAGGTGCAGCAGACGCTCTCCTGCTGGCCTGGCACCTGGAGGTTTGCCCAGCGTGCCTTGGGTCAGCCCTCAGCAGCTTCCCGGCAGCCTTCCTCTCGGGGACTCTGTCTGTGGAAAGGAAACATCAGGAGGCCCAGTTGCTAATGAGGCCCAGATTTACCCACAGGTTAATGTTCTCTGACTTTGAACACCACAACTCCCACTTAGCCCTCCCCTTATCCCTCCCGCTGACGGAAATGTGATGGGAAATCAATTAGAGTCCCCTCACTTGTGTCTAAGGGTCAGCCTTCAGTCTCTGCCTTTGTCAAGCAGCCTCAGCGACCCATTTTAGGCTCCAGTGAAGAGAAGGAATGAGACTCCCCCGCTGGATTTGAGTTGTGCTATCTTTGACCCCTCGCAGCTGCCCAGAACACTAAAAGTTCTCGCAGAGCTTGAGAAACTTGCCAGAATAAGTCAGAACCCCTTGAACTCATCTCTCCCCCTTAACAAAGCAGCCTCCTCCCTCCTGAAAGGCACCATTGTCACTGGGACAGGCCACCTCTGTCCTCCGCGCAGCTGGAGCCTGAGCCTCACGTCTCCTGGGGGCCAGCAGACCCCAGAGACAGGCACGGTCCTGGAGATGGGAGCCCATGGAGACACTCTCAAATACGGGGCGATGCTCCTTTTAAATAAAAGAAACAACTTCAGCCAGTGTCAGAGATACAGGTTGCTTATTGGCAGATGGGACTTGTGACTGTTCAGCCCCTAAGCAGGGACCCTAAACTAATGCCTGCAGGGGCCGGGCAGAAGGATAACCAGGGAGGTGAGGTGGGTGTAGAAAGTAGGGAATGGTGAGGACTGGGGCACAGGAGAGCACCCGCCCTGGCCGCCAGAGCAGTGTACTCAGCTCCAGCCAACGGCTCTCAGGGACCCCGTGTTGCCGCGTCTCCTAAGTCTGTAGACAAGCCAGACGTGTAGCTCTGAGGGGGAGGGAATATCTTCCATCTTTAAGTCTTGGCAACGAATTTGCCTTTAAAAAAAAAAACAAAACACTTTCATGAGCTAGACAAAATAGCTCTGCCGGCCAGATCAGTATAGTCTCTAAAGTTTCCGTGAGAGGACAGATATTAGGAGGTACATTTCACTTACCTGTTCATTTCTTCATTCAACGATTGTTCAAAAAATTCAATTTAAAGATTTTTTTTTGTCATTGACCAGGTGCCAAGGAACTGTGCTGAACGCTAAGGGTTCTGGAATGAATTAGAAGAGCTCGCAGCTGAGTGTGCGTGTATGTGTATGTGTGTGTGCGCGTGCATGCGTGTGCTGGTGGGGGGGGTGACATAGACAGGCACTTGTGGGACACTGAGTAAATTATAACTTCAGGTGTTGCAAGGAGCCGTGGGCACCTGGAGAAGGGAGTGATTGTGTCAAGGGAAGGGGTGACAGTGGAGGAGGCAGCACATCTGAGCTGAAGCTCCCAGGGGGAGAAGGGCAGGAGAGTACCGCACTCAGAGGCCCAGCCTGTGCAAAGGCACAGAGGCCGAGCCAGCATGGACCTATTTGGGAACAACTGTGCGTTTTGTTCAGACAGAGAGCAGAAGTGGTACCCAAAGAGACAAGAGGGGAGGTGACCAGGGCTGAGAAAAGTCCCCTGATTTCACTTTTTCCCATCTGCATCCCAAGCACTCACGATACGAAATTTTGTTGGTGCAAATGAAAATGACAGCAAGGCTCCCCTGCTCCTCTGCCTCTTTGGCCTTGAGAATGGCCTTGGCAGCCTCGCTGGCAGGCGGAAACTGCACACAGGGGTCCCAAGGCTTGGAAACCCTGAAAGGGAACAGAATAAATCCTAAGGCTCAGTGCCATGGCCCCGTCCCAACAAACGCCTGAGCCAATTTCTTTCTTTCCTATTTTTAAAATTTTTAAAATTCTACAGGGTTTCACAAAAGAAAATCAAAGGCTCTGTTCTTCAGGTTAATCAAATAGCTCAAGTCATGGCTGTTTTCCCGTCCTCCTCCAGTCTCTCTCCCCAACAAAGCCGATTAGGTTGATTAAAATAAAGCCCGCTGCATTTTAAATTTGGTCTGGATGGCAGGGGCAGAGGGGCCCATGTGACAGCTTTGTGCCGGGGATGAGGGTCAGTAGCCTGCTCCAAAATGCGGTCCAGATGGGGTGAGATCTAGAGAAGGTGGGTGGCTTCCCACCCTCATCCTCCCCTGGTTTCCATAGTCACTGCCCGCTTACTTTGGGGTAAGGCAGAACTGTGCTAACAATAACAAGTTCCTTCTCTTGCTGGCGTTTCAGGGCAAGAAAGACCCTTCCTTGTGGACGTGCCCCTTCCACCCGCCGCTCCAGCTCTTTTTTGTTATCCGCAACACGAGACAGCTGCGTGACTTTGGTCTAACCAAGATCAAGGTTTGGAATTACTGCACGGCTGACGGCGTAAGTAACAGGCTCCGGTTCCTGGCTGGGCATTTGGCTGATGGAAGCACTTAGTGCTTTCCCCGTAGCCTGATTCCCGAAGTTGCAAAATGGGGACCACGAGGCCCCGTTGCCCTTCCTCCTGGGTGTAGCAAGCACCTGCTGGGAGATTTCACTTTACGTTGTCAGAGCCCCCAGGAGCAGAGCCTCCGCTGAAGGTTTGGGAATTAGAATCAGGTCACCTTTTGGGGGAACTGGAGAAATATGAACCGAGGCGCAGTTTTAACAGATAAGGAAACAGACACACAGAGAGGTTACGTAACATGGCCCAAGGCACACGGCCAGTGAGCGTCAGACTGAGAATTTGAATCCCTGCAGTCAGACTCCAGGCCCATTGGCTTAGCCAGCGCTTCTCCAACCGTATCCGCAACAACTTGCCTGAGATCTTGGTGAAAAGCGGGTTCTAATCCAGTGGGTCTAGGGCGGGGCCCGAGATTCTGCACGTCTAACCAGCTCTCACATGTACCAGTGATCCTGGTGTGTGCACCCCACTCTAAACAGCCAGGCCCTTAACCTCTGTGCTCTTCAGCCCCTCTGGTTTCAGAACCCCTCCCCTCCTTCCCACCCTCATACCATTACCCAGGCCCTCATCCTTGCTTTCTTCTCCGGGTTGTTTTTCACATATTCATATGCATTTATTCCTCCATTCAACCTTGATTACTGAGCACATCCTAGGTACCATCAGGCTTCATGATCAATTCTGAGCACACTGATGTAAAGACACAGTCCATGCCTTGGAGGTACTGCTTGTCTAAAAGCTGGCAGACAAGTAAATGTGGACGTATGAGGCAGTGTGATGAAGGCCTTGATAAAGCTGAACCCAGAGAGCCACGGGTTTCAGACAGAAGCCCCAGGGACTCAGCGGGGAACGCGGTGAGCAAGGAGGGACAGGACTCCCTCAGCCTCTCTCGGTTTCCCCTCTTATGATAGAAGAGGGAGCAAAACTTGTTCTATTTTCCTTTCTAACCTGCTATAAGGGGAGCAGTATTACAAGCGAGATGATAAATGGGAACCAATCCTCGGCCTCCATATTGTTAGAGACACGCTAGGGCCTGGTGGGGAACGTGGCAGACTGGCAAGCGCATGGCTCAGGTAAAGGGCAGGGCATTTTTCAGCTTTCACTAATGATTGATATGGAGCAATGCCAGCCAGTGCTGCTAGATCTTCTGAACGTTCCCAGAGAGCTGGGAATCTGGATTTTGAGATGAGCTATTCTGTTGCAAATGTCAGTAGCTAATTTCACTTCTTTCGAAGCCACCATACAGTTCAAACCAAACTCATCTTTGGGCTGGAGCTAGCCGTTCCCAGTCTGCGGCTGCTGGAGCCTGGAGGAGGGAGCCCTCCTCAGGCTGGGAGAGGTCAGGGAAGGTACTTTAAAGAGCGCATACCTGAGCTCTAGTGGAAAGAGAAGCACCGAGCCGGACAGAAAAGGGAAAGCTTCTCCAGGTGGAGGGAGCTTCGCGGGCAAAGGCGTGGAGGTGTGGAAGAGTACAGCCTCCTAATCGCTCTCCCTGACCCCAGGCCCAAGCCTCCAGTCTGTCTCCAGTAGCCACTGCGAGGTCTGATCACGACTCTACTGTTTCAAGCCCTCAAAGGCTCCCCTTGATCCAGAGAATCCAGGACAGAGGGCCCCTAATCCCTGTGCCTCAAGCCTGCCTCTCTCTTGGCACCCGCCCCTTGACCCGGCCACCCTCCAGAGTGCCAGCTGCTCATGGCTCTCCACCGCCCTCCCTGGTAGGCGCACCTTTAGTCCCTGGCCCCTCCCATCTCGCTCAACTCAAAATGCTTGCCTCTGCCTTGTATTCCTGGGAAACCCAGACGTCCCTTTCTCCAGGATGCTCGCCTGACCCCCTGACCCTTGTGCACTTCTGGACCTCATGAACTGGTTCTATCGCCCCTGTACCAGGATGGGCACTTGTCCCCCCATCACACTGTGGGCCTCCTGGGAGCAGGGCCTGAGTCATCTCCACCACTGCTCTGTTCCAAGTAGAAATACATGGTTGTCGAATGAATGAATGAGTTCATTACCCCAAGAGCCCATAAGCAATTGTCTCATCCTTCTTGAGATCCAGATGAGAGACTGAGAGTAGGAGGGGTTAGGATGCTGGCCCAAGGTCATACCGCAGATTAGAGGCCAGCTAGGGCTCAACCAGGAGACTCCGTGCCCCCTCCCACCTTGCCGTCCTTCCCTCCTGTACCTCTTCTGGCTGGTTCTCCGCTCACCCACTCACCCAGCCGTCCCTCCAGCTCCCTAATAACCATCTGCTAGGCTCTGGGGCTCTGGAGGCTAACATGGCAGACGCGGTCCCAGCCGGCTCTGTTCACACACGATGCTGCCCCAGAGAAGTAACAAAAAGCTTTCTCTGATTTCTGTGTTTTGATTTTTTTTTTTCAAACAAATGCCTAAAGTTTAAATTTGAGAAAAAGTCCAAACTATTGGAACAAATGAGAAGGTTCCTGTGGGCGTGTCAGCCCCCCCTGCCCGGGGTGTGCGCAGGGGCTGTGCTCTAGGCCCCGGATGCGGCCCCGGCCCCATGTAGCTGCAGTGCGTTCCCAGCATCTAGGGCTGGGTCCTCTCCTTCTCCAGTTCGCCCGGCACTTCCTGGCAGGCGGTCACCAGCATCTTCTGGACTGGTTAATGAAACTGCGCTGGCTGCCCAAGCCCGTGCCCTGTAGCTCGGCCCTGTCATCAACTATATCGCTCAGGCCAAGAAAAGCAGATTTTATGTGCTATATTACAAAGAAGATAAGCTACGTCCCTTTTGGCTGAGGCCTGCCTTTTTTCTTTAACCTGCACTCGGCCTTCCCTGTGTGCTGAGAATAGAAAAGGAGCAGGACATCAGGGCGTCATTGCTGTTGCGGGCGCTTCGGGGAGCAGCCGGCTGCGGGGATTAGAGACTTGAGGTGTTTCTACACAGAGGAGTGTGTGGAGGACCGCAGTGCCCGGCAGGGCCACCACTTATGTAACGCACACCTATCTGTTGACAGAATTTTCCGGGGACAGAAAGCGCAAACAAATGCAGCTGCAGGTTGGTTTCATTTAATATTCTCCAGAGAATGCTATTACCGTGTGTTTTAGAGGAGATAAAATGAGAGTTTATAGGAAATATAGCTCAGCCCAGTAGACACGGCTTGTTAAGACAGTGTTTTGTGTCTGGGAATTCAAGGAAGCAAAGTTCATTGTGAGGTGCTGATCCAACCAAGGCTTATTTAGAGCATAAGAAAAGAAGGTGCTAGAAGAAAAGGAGTCTCTTATTGGAAAATCTGCCGCCCGTTTAATCCTCGGGCTAACTCGGATGGCTTCCTTCCCCTTCGTTAGGTGATGCGGTAAAGCGTGCACCGCCCGGAAGAGGGGACTTCCGGGCAGGGTAAGGACACGGAGGCTAGCATCCGTCCACGCAGGCGCACAGGGCGGCCCGCAGATGTGGGTACTCATCACAGCCGCTGTTTACCCAATGCTGCATGCATCAGGCAGGCGTGAAGCCCCCACTGAGCGCTCCATAAACATTTGATGCCTGAACAAACAGCTGAACAAATGAATCATCTCAATTAACCTCCCAACCATCCTACAAGGTGGATGTTGTCGGGCCCCACGTTGTAGATAAAGAAGCTGGGGCTCAGGATAAAAAGATCCTGCGGGACAGATAGCTGCGTCTCTTTTGCCAACTCTGCTTGGAAATGGCTGCCTGGAGGGCTGTCTTGAGAAGGATTTAGAACTTTCCTTCTGGTTCATCCAGGAAAGGGTGTGTGATTGATCGGCAATGCCCGTCTTGGGCTCCGGAGGAGGACGCGATAATATGTTTGTCACATGTTCTGATGTTTCCCCAGATTAAATGACTGGCCCAGCTAGTGAGGAGTAAGGGACCGAGGTGGGAAGGGACCATGGGGGCTGTGGGTTTCCCTGCGGTTTTTCTCGACATTGCTTCCCCTGCAGAGCGACATCTGCTAGGAGAAAGGAATCAATGGTCTCCCTCCTCTAGGATGTAATAACCCATCCAAAAAGTGGGCTTTTCAGCTGCTCGCCACGGTCCATCTGTTTTCGTTTATAATAATAAGCACATTCATCATCTACGTGGCACCATTCCATCACCATTTTCACCTGCAGCATCACCATGCAGATGCCACCTCCAGCCTGGTCACAACAGCAAGTGAGGCAGGACCCAGTGATATATTTTATGCATGGAAATGGTGCTCACTAAGTAGTTTCTGAATTAATTAATTAATGAATGTTAGATTTCCCCAGTGGTGTATTTCTTTTCTTTTTTTTTTTAACTTTTTATTTTATATTGGAGTATAGTTGATTAACGATGTTGTGATAGTTTCAGGTATACAGCAAAGTGATTCAGTTATACATATAACTATTCCTTTTCCAAATTCTGTTCCCATTTAGGTTGTTATGTAACATTGAGCAGAGTTCCCTGTGCTCTACAGCAGGTCCCTGTTGGTTATCCATTTTAAAGATAGCAGTGTGTACATGTCTATCCCAAACTCCAGTGGTATATTTCTGTGACTTGTCATGGTGATCCAGGCCAGGACTGCCCAATAGAACTTCTGATGATATTAACATGCTCTATCTGCCCTGTCTAGGGCAGTAGCCACTAGCCCCAGGTGGCCACTGAGAACTTGAATTGTGGCTCCTGTAACTGAGAGACTGCATTTTACAATTTATTTCATTTTAATATTAACGTAATTGTCCACATGTGGCTGGTGACTACATATCGGACCATAAGGGTCTTGGTGCTCAGGGAGCCATGTGGAATAAATAGACAAGGTCCTGTTCATGCAACCCTGTCCCTTCTCATGAGGAAGGGACAGAAAAAATAAAGGGCACAAGTGAATAGTGTCATTTCTGGTAATGCTAAGTGTTCTGAAGACGATAAAATCAGGCAACGGGAGAGAGGCGGGAGGAGAAAGAGGCAGGGCTGCTCTGGACAGGCGATCAAAGGCCTTCCCCGATCCGG